CAACATTGATTGTTCGGATCACTGGTATCTAAGTCTTCCGCTGTGTTATCTTGTACTTTGTATTGAAAGGTCAGTTCTTGTTCTGGTCTGCACGTTACAGTATGCAACATCAAGCCTCCAACGAGGGAACGTGTGGAAGCTGCACCCACCAGCAGGAGGGACCCGTTACTCAGGAGCTGAAAGTGGTGGTCCCCATTAACCACTTGTGAAGGCCACCTGAATGCGACTTGCGGGATCATTCATTTTTCACCCTCGATTGCGAAGATCAACGGTCAGAAATGAACAATAGGGGCTAGTGGGATCTGGCCCTTACCAACTGATCTAGGCCCCTGGATCCAATCTGCTTTCTTTTTTCCTTTTCCTTTTTTTTCAGTCAACATTCAAATTTCATTTCAATTCAAGAAAGAGGCCGGGCAACCTTGACATTATGACCGGAAAAAAAAAAAAAAAAAGATTAGATCTGCTTCAGAATCTGACCTTTGTTGGTTTTTGGCAGGAGGGTAAGTAGTACAAATGAAGAGAATTTGGGTGGGCCAGATGCATAAGGTAGACCAGGTGCATGAGGTAGACCAAGTGCATCAGGTAGTTGGAGGGGGAGTCACCTTTTCAGGATATCCCTGGCTGGTAGAGAGGGAAAGGAATTAGAAAAAAAAAAGAAAAAAAGGAATGGAAAACAAATCATCTGCCTAAGATATATGAGAGAAAAATGTCCTCAACAAATAAAAACGGGGGGAAAATGAAAAAAAAAAAAAGATTAGATCTGCTTCGGAATCTGACCTTCTTTGGTTTTTGGAAGGAGGATAAGTAGCACAAAAAAATGAAAAGAATTTGGGTGGGCCAGGTGCATAAGGTAGACCAAGTGCATCAGGTAGTTGGAGGGGGAGTCACCTTTTCAGGATATTCCTGGGTGGTAGAGAGGGAAAGGAATTAGAAAAAAAAAAAAAAAAAAAAGGAATGGAAAACAAATCATCTGCCTAAGATATATGAGAGATCTCCAGAATGGATACGGGGCCAGGGCCCTAAGCACCCTTTTTTGTTTTTGTTTTTTGGGATTGATGCTGTAATCTATTTGTGGGGAAACG